TATGGCCATGTTATTATGGCTTAGGAAAACACTCTGGATTGCCAGAAGCACTCAAAATGCTTTATTAATTCAGCAAACAAAAGCACTCTCTGTCTGCAGCTTTGTTAGGCAAGGCAGCAAGAGTGAGCTTCTAATTGTTAGCTAGGGTTTTAGAAGGTTTTGCTTCATAACACAAATGGAAGAAGGCAAACACCTGTGCTTACCAGAACCAAAATGGCCTCCAGGCCCCAGAGCTTCCCTCAGTCGGCGTCCAGCTTCCCAGCTCCTCTCTCCTGGAGTGTGGCAGCCCAAAAGAGCACAGCAATGTTTTCAGGTGTTGACCTCTATTAAACAAACAGTGGTTCTTCTCCAGAGAGTGAGGAAATACCCCAACTTGCCGCTGGTTGGCCAGCGCAGTGCTTGCGTGCCACCCTGTCCAATTGATTATTTGAGGGCAGTGTTCCAGTGGTCAATGCCTTGGTGCCCCAGGACACAAATTTGGGATCCGTGGAGCCCTCTGTGCTGCCACAACCCTTTCAACTGTGAGAATATGAAGAGGAGAGGAGAGGTGAAAAAGCACAAAAGGGAGCAAGCTCTGCATTGCAGAAAATGTGGTCAAAGCACAAGAAAATGGCACAGTAATGTCCAGACGTTGGTGCAGAGTTGTCTTCTGCACAACAGGCTTTCATCTGTTAAAATTTGGCTTAGGCTTTACTCCAAAACACTATGCTTTCAGCCCAAAAGGGAAGATGGATTGATAGCTTTTGTGCAGATAATACGTTTTCAGGGAAGAAACTGAGTTTTTGTGAATGTTCACACACTCTGCCTCACCACTTTTCTTCTGTTAGTAGCCTGGGCTCATCTTTGGAAGAAGTTTCACACTATGAAAGTTTGGTCATTTTGGGTGGAATCCAACTCACGTGACTTTAGATGTCTGCAAGGTACACACCATCTTAGGCTATGTTTATTCCTGGTGAAAAAACTCTTTTGAGGAAAAAAAAAATCACTCAACCTATTTAAGAAACAACTGCAGGGTTGTTCAAATACTTATTCTAGGCCTCCCAGTTCAAAAAAGACACGGATCTCCTGGAAAGGGTCCACAGAGAGCCACAAAGATGAGGACCTGGAGCATCTCCCATTTGAGGAAAAGCTGAGTAACCTGGCTTTGTTCAGCCTGGGGAAAAGAAGGCTGACAGGGAAGCTGATAAATGCTTATAAACATCTGAAGGGAGGTGGGAGGCAAATGAATGAGGCCAGGGTCTTCTTGACAGTGTGTAGCGTTAGGACAAGGAGTAATGGCCTAAAACTTGAACATAGGAAGTTCTGAACAAACATGCAGAAGAACTTTTTTACAGTGTGGATGATTGAGTACTGGGACAGGTTTCCCAGAGAGGTTGTGGAGTCTCCTTCTGTGGACATATTCAAGAACCATCTGGGCGCCTACCTGTGTGACCAATTGTAGGGAACCTGCTTTAGCAGGGGGTTGGACTCGATGATCTCTTGAGGTCCCTTCCAACCTCTGCAATTCTGTGAAATACATGAACTACAGATGTTTGGATCTTGCAGTCAGATGGACCTCATCCATGAGGACAACCAGTGTGGCAGCATGGCTACAAAAACACATGGCAAAGCCTGGGACATCAGATCCCAGGCTGCATGCTTAATACAACCAGCAGCAAAGGGTGCAAGAAAAGCTGTAATCATCCTTACTCAACTGTATTGAAAATCTTGAAAAGTCCATAGAGTAATCTCAGGCAAATAAAATTATTTATGGTATAAATTGCACAAGAGGTGGTAATGAACTGAGATGAACTATTGAATCCATGCCTCAAACTTCAGATACCATCAGTAGCCACAATATTTCATCACATTTCCCCTGGTTGTGCTTTAAACTCACAGGAAAGAAACAGTGAATGAACGGAAAAATTAAAATTTGCAAGTAAGTTTCAGATAGTCTGACAGGGCAAAAACAAAAGGTCTGTCATTTAAAGACTTCAGTTTAGAACAACTTAAAGACCATCAGCAGTTTACTCTGCCAGGTGGGCCAGCTGGGGAAGACTGTCAGCTTTTGTAATGAGTTTAGAAGCAAATAAGGAAAGTTCATAATGATACTTAAGATGAACCTCCTCTTAAGTCTCATATCCTGATAGCTTGGAGTTTGGTAGACTCTTATAATATCTCTAAGATCCTATCTTTCCTATTCTCATCTAGCTAAAGATCTCATTCGGGGTCAGAATCTGTGACTTGGATTCTGTTTTTCTCTTATTTTGCCCAGTTCATAGACCTCTGGGATGGTGTGCAAGGTTCACCCCTGCACTTTCTCATCGAAACTGTGTTCTCTCTGTGTTCCTTTGCTGACCTTTGGAAATTTCTTCCTTTCATTTTCCACAGCCTATCTTTATCTATAACATCATTTAGTGTCTAGATGACTTGATACCTGGACTCAACTGTCTCTTAACCTCAGATATTTCTCAGTGCCTTTTGCCACAGAACACTTTATGGTTTTTCAAACAAGTGTAATGAGCAGAACAAATATTGTACTGTGCTTTTCCATTAGCTACAGAAAGCTGTTGTCTTTTGTACTGCTGCAGAGATTTAGAACTGTTTGGGACAAATTCAGTGTTGTCATTGGTGTTTGTGCAGCGCTTTGTGCTCAAGTGCTCAGCCAATGACAAGGGCTTCAAGCCATTACTGAAAAATAAATATACTGATGAGCTGTATTAAACACAGTTCTGTCTTACTGCTTCAGGATTATGTGTAGATTTGCAGTTCAGAATTGCAGATTACTGAGTAAGATCTGCATTCAGTCTTTGATGAGTACTGAACAGTCTCTGCCTAGCTTAAAATGCAGAAATCTAGCCCTTTCCCTGTGACCTCAAAGGGAAAGGCATTAAGAATATAGGAGCAGGCCCATTCTATGCCTGCTGAAGACTTTTCCACTGAGAAAAGAAGAGCAGCACAAAATGAGGCAGAGCACAGGATGTTTAATCCTATGTTTTCAGTCACCAAAGTGAAGACTGTATTAGCATCAGAGAGCTTAGCTCTGCTCTTGTCTGTTTTTATGTAAGTGTTCAGCTTCTCTGAAGTGACAGACTAGAGAAGTGGAAAAATGAACTAACAAAATACAAACCAAAACACCAAAACCCATAAAATATTCATAAGAACTGAATGCTGTCTGTCAAGTGTTTTGTGGCTGAGTGTTTACAGAATCACAGAATCACCCGGGTTGGAAGGGACCTCAAGGATCATGTAGTTCCAACCCCCC